AAAACCATCCCGCTCCTTAAAATACTTTGTAATATATATATATATATCATAACTAACTGTTAGAAATTTGTTCATCATTTTGAATAACATTATCTTTATTATGAAACCATTCATATTTATGTTGATGAATTAAAGGATCATATGATGGTAATGTAAGTAAAATTGCAAGTACACCAATATCAATTAGTTTTATTTCTTCAAGATAATCAAGTTCAATATGAGTAAAATATTCTATACCTAAGTCTGAAATCATTTCTAGAAATTTTTCAATTAATATGGATGAAAGAAGAAGTTTTTGTAAATTTTCAATGCGTTTAAAACGTTTTTGTCGATAATTAATACGTTGATGAAATGAATCAAGCAGAGTTTTACATTCAATTCTACAAAAAAATATTTGATTTTCTAATTAAAGGAAAGAAAAGCTTTTTAAATCTATAGTGATTTACACTTGTTGTTTTGGAAGAATAACTGTAGAAAGTTCTTCAAAACTAATTTCATTATTCGTTGATTTTAATAAAGTTTTAAAACATTCTTGTGAAATAATATCATGTATTGTAATTAAAGATGAAAGTTCATGTTCATATTCTGGATCAGCATAATCAACAAGAATAGAAGCTTGTTTATAAGTTAAATAACAACCAAGTTTACAAAAATTTTCATTAATAATTCTATGAATATTATCATTATTCTTTCGTTGTTTAATTGTTAAATATTCGTTTTGTTGATCAGAATTTTTTAAATTTTCCATAGATATATAATAAATACCTGATTCTATTATACGAAAAAAAAAATTGTTTATTTATTTTCTTAAGACTTTTTAGCAATTGATATTCCTACAATATATTAGAATTAGTTCTTAATCAAGGAAGAATGCTAATGATATCAAACGAAAGCTTGTCGAAATTGAGATTTAACATTACTCAACAGTTCATAAAACAACGATGAACTACAGCATGAGTGAAAGTTCTAAAATTTTCAGGCATATAATTAATGTCTATCGATAGTCAAAGATAGAGTTCTCTTTATTGATCATTATGATAAACGATTTTTTTTTCAATTCCATAAATGGAAAATGCTAAGATTTTTCTAACTCGTTCATGTTATTTTTTTTATAGCTATAGATAAAGTTTTACTACAACGTTCTTAGAATTTCTTGTGCATCGTTTTTTTGTTTAAATATTTGTTTTCTAACCTAATGTATCATGAAGTCTTGTTAGAAAATTATTATAGATTCCATCAAGTGTATATTCATTAACAAAAGTTTTTGTTTCAATTAATGTTTCCACTATATGTTCATCTGTTAAACCCATCCAATAGAATATTTTACTACAATTTGGATCAAGATTAAAATAACGAATAAATTCTAAAAAAACAGATGCATATATTTTCATTTTTATTTATTTATTACTATGAATTTTTAAATATTTACCATGAATAGATAGTGATGATAATCTTTTTGTTGATTCAATACAATTTTTTGTAATAAAATTTCGACGTTCATCATTATTTAATATAGAATTAATAAAAATTTCTTTGATTGTCATTGCACGTTTTGTTAAATATTCAATTAAATCATCTTCACGTATAACTAAAGTAATTTCAGCAAGTAAATCAGCATCACGTTTATGAAAAAATGATATAGATTCAAAATGTTTTAATAAAGATGACTTTTTAATAATAATATCTTGTTTAGATAAAACAAGAAGTTCAATTGTTGATATAAGACCTGATGTTATTAAATCATCGAATATATCAATAATTGATATAAAACGTGGAATTTTATTAAATTCATTAAGAAATGGTATAAGTATTGTACCATTGAAATGTTCAGCAATCATTTTAAGTACAACACGTGTTATACAACTATGTAAATTTAAATGATCTTGAATTTTTTTACAAATCTTTTTTTGAAAATTTTATTTAAATAGAAATAAAATAATTTTAAAAAGTTTTTTTTTTAATTTACTTTATTTAATCGTTCATCAATATCTTCTTTTGCATGAAAATCAATATAGAATTGATCTAATGTTTCTGATGTAATTGTATTCTCCGAAATTAATGCATCAAAATTTTCCGGTAATAACCATATTTGAGACATAATAGCACGTAAATCATTTAGTGTAATTGGTTTTATTTTGGATCTTTTGGTAAGTTGTAATAAGTAGGGTTTTCTAAGAGCCGCCATTACTTGAGTAGCAGACACTATTTTAAATCAATAAGGAAGTAGATTATAAAACGTTATTGATATATGGTAACTTACAGGACATCATTTTTGGGGTACAAACGTGAGTATGAGTTCTCGTCTTCTCTTCATCTACACTCACTCATGCCATGGAAATATTACTTTTTTCAATATGTATCTAGTTTCGATGTTCTTCTCTTTCGACTTTTCTACAATCAGCTCTACTGTCGATCAGAGTCTGTGGAGAGAGAGAGAGAAGGATCTAAATTTCTAACTTGTATACTTTAGCAATTCTTTTGAGATCATGTTTTAGAAAAAGGTCTTTATGATTGGTCGAACAAATCGAAGTCGTCGTAGTAATTCTACAATTTATTAAGATTTAAGAATATTTCGTATACGCTTTAAATATGATATTATGACATTACTTGATATCTGATAATGAACTTTACTATTGACTCTTGATATTTATTATTCTTTTATTAGATGCTACAGACAGCATTCTGTTTATTATAGATAGAATCTAAAGATCAACTAAAATTTATCATAGCTGATATGAAAATCGATTTCGAATAACATTCATAGAAATCTTTGACAAATTTCTAATATAGAAACAAAAATTCAATCACTACTATAAGCATACTAAATTCAAATTCTTGAATTTTCATTTATTCTCTGTTTAACTTACTAAAAGCATTTAATTTTTTAATTGTTTGATATAAATCATTCAATTTCATTGGAAGATTTAATTTAAATTGTCGATATTCATCATCAATATGACTATCACTATTACGTGTTCGATTAAATATTAATTTTAATAATTGTCTTATAGCATCTTCACGTACAATATATTTAATCATATCATCTATTTGTTTTGATGTTAATATTGATGAATGAATAAGATTTGTATCAAGATCAATAATATCATTTGCATCTAAATAATATTTGATTGTTTCAATTGTATCATAAGATGTATGATACATTTCACCGAGAATTTCAATAAATTCATCCAATGATAATGACATTCGTTTATATGTACGAAAACGTATTTGATGATAATCAGGATCATTAATTATTGTAATTACATCACCATATGAACATAATGTTCGTACTTGTGTACATAGATAGATTTTTCGAATCATACGAGATAAAATAATTGATTCTGATTGAAATAGCATTGTTTTACCATTTAAACGATTATCAACTAAAATTAAATCTAATGCCATACGAACATGTATTCGTTCACGATTGATTGTATAACCTTGTTCTTGTATTTAAAAAAAAACGTTTTGAGAAACAAAATATATTTATACATGTTTCTTACTTTGTGTTGCATTCATCAGTTCATTAGCTATTTTACTATTTATTTGATCTGAAAATGAAGAAGTTGATTGATCAGTTAACATAACAATACCATTTAAAACATCTTCAATATCTTTCTAAATTATAAATTATATTTATTGTCTCTTTTTTTTAGTTAAGATATGAAAAGAAATTAAATTTGACTTTTTTATTTACTGTATTAGTCAATGCTGCTGCCATAGCTTGTACACCATAAACAATTTTATCAGTCATTGCTTGTTCGATTGGTATAAATTGATTGGGATAATAGAATTGTCGATATGTATTTTCATATGGTAATATTTGAATTGTTTGATTTTGATTTCTGTTTTTTTTTCTTAATTGTTTTGATTGATTTTGTTGATTGTTTATTTTTATTTCATTTTGCAAATATTCATATGTGATTTCTTCATTAATTATAAATTTAAGTATATCTTCAATATCAGCAATTAATTTGTTTGTTTTCTATTTGAAATTATGATAATAAAAATCTATTCATTAGTTTAAAAGAATCAGAGTTATCAATGAGCTGAACAATGTCGGGTATCATCACTACAATTTTTTGTTTTCGAAAAATCTCATTTTGTTCTTTTTATCGACTCAAATTTTGAACCTACTCTCATAGACTCATCCTAGCGCATATTGAGAGTTTTGACATACATACATACTTTATGATTTTTATTTTTATATTGATTATGAATATGATTCATTAGTTTTGTAAAATTTTCTTTAGTTTTTGATAGAATAACTGATGATGAATCAAGTGTATCATTTGATTCCATAGGACATAAAGGTTTAGCTTCAATCACGAACACATCTTCTTGTTTGTCTCTCGTTTTCATTGAAGATATTTTAGTTTTTTTAGATAAATTTAAATATCGTTCATGATGTCTATAATTATGAATAACATTTCTGAGAAGTTGATTATTTCTAAGTTGCATTTCAACTATTGTTGGTAATTTAATTGGTATACAATGAATATCTTCTGGTAGAAACTTTTCTATTTTTATGATTTCATCATGTTTATTCGATAACATGATAGAATTAGAATAGTTATCATACAAATTAGATATTTTGAAATCATCGTTTTGTTCAGATAAATTGCGAATACTATCAATATTATTATTGTTTTGATTAACATTTTGATAATATATCGATAACAAAGAATCAAGATGATTAATAACTTTATCTGTTATTTCAAAACTACCATTAGTTTCTAAAATATCTATTCCATACTACAATAAATATGAGTTTTATTTATTATGATGTATACAATATGAAATCTTACATCAGTATGAATATTATTGGCAATATTAATACATTCTGATACTTTAAGAAGAAATTCTTCGGAGAAAATTCGATGATCTTTCATTGTATTTGTTTCATGAGTATTGTTTATTGTAGAAAGTGATTCAGTGTTATATTGATCCATGATTCGTTTAGTCATTTACTAGATTGTAGAATATCTAAATTTATCTTAGCGCCAAATGAATCTATGAATTATTGATTTATCTTGAAAACTATCTCTAGAACTTAGTAATCTAGTATCATTACGATGCAAACTACTGTACAATAATCGTTTAAGAGTTTGTTTATTTTCTTGACACATAACTCGAATCACTATTTTGTATTACGATAATCTAAAGATCAAAGAGTCTTGCAAGTTTCATTTAAATGTTATTACAAAGTTCCATATCCCTATATGATGAATGCCTTTTTTCGACACTTCTATATGAAACTTCCTTTTGTTCCCAATTGGCTCTATAAAGTGACGATTTTGAAGTGAAAACTCTATGTTCCTTTTTTTAGACATAATGAGATAGTGAAAAACGAATTACACGAGCCATATTGATTGAATCGAATATTACTAACATCTTTCGAAGTTTCGTACTTGTATCGAATACCGATAATTGAAATTTTAAAATTTGTATCATGCACTTTGTTTTTTTTTATTCTAATGTACGTCTTTGATTGATTTATTTCGATATATTGCGTTTTAACAATGTCTAAGGGCAAGATTGAATAATCGAGTAGTTGTTTGACAATATAAAATATATTCAAAACTAGAATTATTCAAAAACATATTAATCAAAAACGCTTATTGATGGAAGAATTTATTAAAAAAACTAATAAACAGATGCATTTAAAGTAAGAGAGTATTAAACTATTGCAAGTATTAGTCGTATGTTAAAAGAGCGGACGCTAACGTAATAGGTCCGTTAGGTGGAGAACAGGGCTTACCTCGGGGTGTGGGTGTGGGTGGGGTGTGGGTGTGGGTGTGGGTGTGGGTGTGGGGTGTGGGTGTGGGTGTGGGTGGGGGTGGGATGTAGGTGTGGGTGGGTGTGGGTGTGGGTTTGGGTGGGTGTGAGTGCGTGGTGGTGAGTAAAGAGAGGAATGACACCCATAACTACACCCACACTCACACACCCACCCACGCCCACGCCCACACACCTATACCCACACCCGCACAAGATGTTGAAAATTTAGAAAGTAATTTATTGTATTTTATCGTGAATATTACCTGTAACCAAGTATTTTATCTATTCTAGAATTTGATTTAGATAAATTAGTTTATTCAACAGCCACTGATGATTTTGATGTTGATGAAGATGAGTGTGACGAAACAAAAGTACAAAAAAAACAATCAATAACTTTAATGGAACAATATTATCATGATTTATTAAAATGCGAATTTCAGCAACTTCCAATCACTAGAAGAGGTGGTGATTATGAATTAGAAGATCCAACTAAACATACACGACAAAAGCTAATCGAGTTATGCCGACATCTACACTCTAAAAAATTTCCGTCTCCTAGGAAACTAAAATCAGTTCGGAAACCATTTCGGAAACCTTTTTTGGTTTCCGAAAGGGTTTCCGATCACCGAAATCGTTTTCGAAAATACCTTATTGGTTTCCGAGGTTTCGGAAACCTTTTAGTTTTCGAGAGTACTGAATTCGATGCGTGTAGGGTATTCTAGAATACCTTTTCATCATTGGCGCAAACCAAATCAGTATTTTCGGAAACCTGTTGGGTATTTTAGGAAACCGATTCTGTCCTAAAAGTTGTTTGGGTATCTAAAGAGGTATCCGAGAATACCTTATCAGTTTCCGAATCACTATCTCGGAAACCTCAAGAGTTTCCGAAAGCTCGGAAACCCTAACTCGTACCCGAGAATACCTTTTTGGTTTCCGAATCACTTTCTCGAAAACAAAAAGAGTTTCCGAACTACTTTCTCGGAAACCAAAAGCATTTTCGAATGGCTTTCCCGGAAACCTAAACGGTTTCTGAAATTTCTGAAATTCGAAAAGGTATAGTGAAAAACAGAAATCAGCTTTCCAACTTCACTTAACTACTGCACACTTTCTAGGCTTGGAAACTTTCACAATGAGTTTCTAAAGCGTTTTAGAACACAACAATTTTTCCAATGCAGAAAGTTCGCGTTTCAAATTCATGTTTGGGTCATGATTCTGTTCTTCATTTCTGGAATTCTTAGAGAATCGAAAGCACTTAGAGCTTTCATGCAACATGTTTGATTATATATGTACAGTTCATAGCTTTCAATAAATATAAACTTAAATCTAATTTTTTTTCTTTATTTAGGTCTATATGAATGTCCATTACTAATTCTGGTAAGTCAACTGATTTATATAAACTTAAATCTAATTTATTTTTCTTTATTTAGGTCAGGGCTGCCAACCGTACCCATTTTGGGGTACAATACCCCATTTCGACATTTTGTACCCCAGAAAATTTCGTACCCCAGGGGTACATATTTTGTACCCCATTTCGATTTTTAAGTCTGGAATGTGATAGAACACCATATCAAGGTAAAGAAAGTGTGTTTTCCCTTTAGTCCTTTCACTTCTATCTATCTAAAAAAGTATCAGTTAACAAATGATCGATAGATTTCCACATCTGCTTTGTTCAGTGTCGGATTGAAATACTTGGTTGTTCATACTATTATCGTTATAAACACCGAAATAAGACTTAAACATTTCTCCTTATCTGATTTCTCCGTGTTTCATTAATTTTTCTTTTTTATTTGGCAAATAAATATTCTATTAGATATATCTCTAATTGCAGATTTTCTCTTTAATGAATTTGATGGTAATCTTCGTTGTCTATTTATAATGTTATTTTCCAATTTCAAACTCAACAATCAATTAACACAAAGCTAATTGACACAGTGTAAACAGTTAAGCCTATCTAATTGAAAAACAACAGTGAAATATGATTCTGTTCTCTACAAAAGAAGTGTCGTTTCAGCAGGTTTCTCAATTAAATACTTTACTTCAGGAGTAAAATCATGTACCCCATTGATGTACCCCTTTTTAAATTGGAATATACCCCAAATGTACCCCATTTTGACTTTTGTAAACCCATTTAAAAAATGAGAAATGCCACCCCTGATTTAGGTCTACATGAATGTCGATTACTAATTCTGGTAAGTCAACTGATTTATATAAACTTAAAGCTAATTCTTTTTTCTTTATTTAGGTCTATATGAATATCCATTAAAATGTCAGGTAAGTCAATTGATTCATATAAACTCAAATCTAATTTGTTTTTGTTTATTCAGATCTATATGGATATCCATTACTAATTCTGGTAAGTCAACTGATTTATATAAACTTAAAGTTAATTTCTTTTTGTTTGTTTAGGTCTATATGAATATCCATTAAAATGTCAGGTAAGTCAATTGATTCATATAAACTTAAACCTAATTCTTTTTTCTTTATTTAGGTGTATATGAATATCCATTAAAATGTCAGGTAAGTCAATTGATTTATATAAACTTAAATCTAATTTCGTTTTGTTTATTTAGGTCTATATGAATGTCCATTACTAATTCTGGTAAGTCAACTGATTTATATAAACTTAAAGCTAATTCTTTTTTCTTTATTTAGGTGTATATGAGTATCCATTAAGATGTCGAGTAAGTCAACTGATTTATATCAACTTTATAAATCTAGTTTTTTATGTTTATTTAGGTGTATATGAATGCCCATTGATAATTTTGGTAAGTCAACTGATTTCAATAAAAGTAAATCTTATTGTTTTTTCTTCATTTAGGTCTATATGAGTGTCCATCAATAATTCTGGTAAACTCCCCCCCCAGAATAGAAGGCCACCCCCATTAGAAGGCCACCCCTGAGTCATATTTGCAAAAGTCACATTAGAAGGCCATGGCTTTCTAATGAATTGTTTGGATATTACATAAATATTCTGTGCTAGTTTTATAAATATCTTAGCATTTTGAGAGATCATGTATGATCTCCACCGCACTCCTGTTTGGTTTTGCTATAAATTTAAAGAGGTATGTTCAATTTCCAAAAGCTGTCAAAACAAAACAAAGTTTAATATGCCTATTTGATCGCTTCAATTCTTTTGCTCTGGTACGATTACATATCTTTTGAATACATATAAAAACTTTTTTGTTCTTTGAAGTATTTGTGGTGCCAGACATCGGATAGGTATACTAATATTTGTTGATTAAATATAATACCCATGTAGCCGATAATGGATGAATAATGGAAAATGATCCATTATTTTCCATTATTTGAAGAAAAACATGAATTAATGCATTATAATTAATTATTTTTTGACTTTTCAATGCATTTCAATGCATTATTTCTAATAATGCTGAAAATGAAGGATAATGCCTAAATTTTCAATGCATTGTAATGCATTATTTAGAATAATGTAGAAAATTCCAATAATGCATTATTATCCAATGTATTTCAATGCATTATTTCTAATAATGCGAAATTGGCTTGAGAATGCAGCAAAATTTCAATACATTACAATGCATTATTCCAAATAATGGAGAATTTTAAGATAATGCATTATTATTCAATATATTTCAATGCATTATCAGGTATAATGTAGAAATTGAGGATAATGCATTATTATTCAATGTATTTCAATGCATTATTTAGAGTAATGTTTTTAAATTAGAGAATTCACCATTTCTATAAAAGAGATATTGAAAAGTGATTTGACAGGTAGATATTTGATCTAACGCAGCTTTCTGTATATCAGGTGCTTTTCAATAAGAGTTGCGCAAGTTAAAGAACTAATAAAAAATGTAACCTGAGTTACAGCGCTCAGAGTATTTTTCGAATCCCTTTTCCCTGATAATGGAAACCTAATCGTATTTTTAGAAATCACTAGGGTATTCAAGGAAACCTACACTATTGAAAACTTGAGCCAAAATCTGATGAGATATACCAGATTACCCTTTCAGGTTCCAAAATATTTCCCAAGGCAAGCCGAAGAGTTTCCGAGTTTACTCAATCGAGCAAATGTGCACCAACGAACCGAAATCCGATCTCGAGTTTCTATTTGATGCAACGAAACGCTACTAAAGTTTTGAATGCTTTTAGAATATTCTGTAGAATGAAAGAGATCACAGTCTTAGACCTCTCAAGAGGTTTTCCCTCT